TAGCCGGAGTTGCTTCACTCACCTACCGCAGTCTTCTTCCCCCAGCAAAGGGGCCCTGAGCTGTCTCGAACTGTTGCCACGTGGTTGAGCAACAGCTGCGCAAAGGGGATCCACAATCCTCGGCAAACACGCTCGTGTGCCGGGCGAGCGTGCGAGCGTGGCAGACATGGATGAACGTGAGGCCACGTTGCGAACGCCTGGCCTCTAGGCCTCTAGGTCAATCGATTTGATTCGGGAGACATCATTGCGAACTGAAGCCAGCTGAAAGTGTAGGGCCAGGCACTTTTGGGAAAGTGCGTCTCTGGTACCTGAGGCTGGACCCTTGCCTGCTATGTCATGGGGTCACCTGAGATTGAAATAGATACCCAGCATTTCCCGCCCCAACCAAACGAACCTTCGGGGATCCGCGGGGTTGAAACCGCTGGACAACGGACATCAGGCCTCGTGGCAAAGAGCTCAAGCCAACTGATTCAGCCTCTGAACACTTCGGGATACTTCAGGGTGTCTTTTAACCCATTTGCCGCCCAATAGTAAGACATAGTAAGACTGCAAAACACGATGGGTGGACAGTGCAGTCTACAGTCTATACTCTATACACTGCTGGCTCATCAAGGGACTCGAGTTTTGATTGGCATTTCGATATGCTAGGAAATCATCGCTTTATGCCTGGGCTGGGAAAACTTGTTCCAAGGTCTTTATGATCGTTATGATTAAGACTCTCTTCAGCAGCGATTATTTGACATCTCTGTGCTAGCCCCACAGGCAGTGTCACTGCGGGTTTTGGTCACCCACCGCTTGCGGTGGCGTTCCAAGAAACGTTCACACAGGGGAACTTCTGGGACCATGAATGAATTCATCGTTGAACTGGAGTCATACTCAAGTCTCGATTCCATCCATCGAACTGTGTGGTTTCATGTGGTTTCGCTGTTTGGATGTTTGATGGATTTTTGGGAGTCTTGCCCTTCCATCAACCCGAAAGCGCTAGTCCTGAACGTTAATTAATATTGAGAAAATGCAAAACATGGAGCATTTCATTGTATTTCCTCTGGCTTCCCCGGTGAATCTGCAAATCCAAGACTCCCAAGACAACTTGTAGGCCGTCAGCCACTAGCTGATTCGGCGAGCCGATGATACCTTGCTCATCATCTCCTTGGTCGGGATTGAACAAGTCCACGACAATCACTACACTTCGACTCGCTAACACAAATTCCATCTATACCTCCACGGTCAGAAAACGGTCGGTTTTGAAGACATTTGAAGACCTTCCCGCTTGGTGTTGTCGCTGGAGACCCACAAACTGGAGCTCTGCTCTCTTGAGCGAGAGAACCGAAGCTGCGAGCTGCACAGCGCAGCTTCCGGACCGGATGAAAAAGTAAAAGGGAGCTCTGGTCCGCAGATGTGCTAAGTGACTATAGGTCGACCTGGTGTCGAAACACTTGCGAGAGGCACGGAGTGGTACTCAACCTATATGTAGGTTGGTCTCAAAAGAACGCAGCAGGTTAATCTTATGGGATACCCTAATCTCATGACCTCATGAGCATTCAAAAATAACTGTGACTCATGTCACTGGCGGCAAAAGCTGGCCGAGAATCCATTGATCAGTGCAAGCAAAGTTACGTTGAACAAATTTATGCTACCTGTGCGGTCCCGTGGTCAGGACTCGCATGGTCTCGCATGACCGGATGGCCACATGCTTGGGATTGGTGGGCAAAGAAACACATGATTTATTCATCCCCCGTGCTCAAGCCGTGCGTTCTTTCGTATTCTGACGTACATGGTCCATATTGGTCCATGCTTCTCACATCATGAACGTCTAGAATCTACAAAAGTACCCCCTGACCCGGACCCACTGTTGATGGGCATATAAATACTCTATCCGGTTTCCGTTTGGTACGTATTTAGTCGTATTTATATGTATTTTGCCTATCATCAACTATCCGACCTATCCCTCTTGCAGCTTCTGGGAACAGAAGGCGTGGGGGCTTCCCACCTTCTCCAGCAAATGTCTTTTGGGCGTTTCTTTCACCCCCATGGCCTATTAGGAGCGATCGGACGCTACGAACGGGGCTCCTGGCATCGCTGCGCACGGAGCAAGGACGCTATGAAACCCATGGTGTCCGATTGACTTCGCTGCTTGGCTGGTGGCCCCCCCAGCCCATTGGCTCGGACGCTCACAACCATCGAGAACGACGAGAATGGCCTTCAGCACCGAACCATCGAGAACAAAACACCTCGGAGACCTCTGCAACCCGCTTTCAAGCCCCCCCCAAAAAGAATGCTCGGATGAGCCGCGCGGCAACGATGTACCAAGAATTGCGCAATCTGACTTGAATATGCATTGAAAAGGGCATCTACAGAAAATCCACGTACAGTAGATCTACCCCAAATTCCTAAATCGGATACCCCAAATGATCCGGCCTGAACTGAAAGAAAGAAACACAGACTGTTGAATCTGAGCAAGTCCTGCCTTTCAGCAGTACTATAGTTACATACCACAAAGGGTTTAAGGTACCCTCGGTTCCACACACCCTGTCTCAACCGTAGACGATGATCATTCGGATCAACCTGCATTTGTCACCATCATTCCCAAAATTATGGAGTGCAAACTTATAGTAACTGATAGTATAGTAAATGAATTAATGTAAATGTCAAATTAGCTTTGCCCTCAAACATCCTATTGAAACCTTTATTTGTCACCTTCCCCAGGACACTTCCCAAGTCCCTCTACGGAACGCGTTCAGCAGGCTGCACTCTGCTTAACAAAAAACAAACAAACTCGTGCTATCTCGTGTTCGCATCTGTCGTCCGGTCATTCTGGGTGCCTCTCATCCGGTTGGCGTTGGCCTCTGGATCGATGTCCTCAGGGTGGGGCCGATGGATCTGAGACCATCCAAATGGTGGGACGCTGCCCGAGATCCCTTCCGAAAAAGAAAGACGTTGGGTTTAGTTATACTAAATGGGTTCAGTATGTCTTAGTCAATGGACTAAGGTTTGGAGAGGTCCATCGAAAACACGATGGTTTTAGACCGAGTCCGTTGACCGAGTCGACAGGTCTCAGTCGTGAAAAACCTGCACCGACTCACCGAGCCTTCGGACGTCCAGACAGCCGGGGCATGACGGATGCCGGCCCAGCCCACCACTTCCGTGGTCGTCTCTGGTCGTCGTTTTTCGTCTGCCCTGTTGAGCTATGGCCTGAGTGGACCACGCGTACGGTTCGTAGGGGAAAGTTGCGTCTTCCAAAGGTCCCCTATGAAGATGACCCACGTCATCGTATCATCTGCTCATCTTGATGCTGGAAAGTACCCATGTCATCCTGCTGATATAAGTCCTATATTACTCTTGTCAACAAAACCTGGACCAAACCAACATAGCTCCTCCACACACCTGCCCAGGAAAAATCGGAGTTCTCTAGATTTTCTTAATCCGTGCTGACCCGTGCTCTCTGGGATCCCATCCAAGTGGCAAGTGAAACTTGAAGAAATTCCTTTGACATGCGTTGCGTCAACATTCGCTGTCGCCCCGCCACGTCGATGGTCTTTCCTGAGGACGGACGGTTGACTCTTTTTCGGCCATATGAAGGTCAGGCCATTCAAAGTTTCGGCTGCTCTTTTTTCTGCGGGGAGGAAAGAGAGAGGCGATGCAACATGGAATGGGTGCCTGGGTGTGGTAGTAGGTGGACTGTGGACCGGAGCTTTCAAAGACACGTTGATGGACCTTGCGACACGTATCCTGGCGAAAGCATCTCCATGGTCCTTCTGGTCAAGCACTCGATGGGGTCTGGTCCGATGTCAGGTCCGGGAGAGCGACATATATACACATAGATACATATATATAGTTACATATATATTATATCTAAATAATAGAACCATGATCCAGGTGTGTACAATTACTCCATATGCGTATTTGCTGATTGCACATTTGTGGAAGAGAACAACACTTCAGCAGGAAGGAATGCGTGTGTTCGTATCCGGTATCAGAACATCCATGTGGGCGCGGCCGCAGTGGAATTAGGATATATTGCTGTAGGATAATATAGTACTATTGGGAGTCCATGTTGAAGTATGTTGAAGTAAGAGTCGTGCGGGACGGTCAAGAAACTGTTTTTTAACGACACAACATTCCGTTTCAACGGCATTGGAGGAAGGACATTCGACCGTGTGAGCGGTGTGCGCTTGCATCAATCTCTTGGAAGATGGCGAAAGGGTGTCTACTGCCGAACCATCGCAAAAACGAACTTTTGTCGTGGGACCGTGGGGGTGTTTGTTTTCTGTGCCCAGCAAATAAATCATTGGTAGCAAGAAATCTGCCAAACTCCACTCACTACGCTCATCGCAGCATGATCCAAACCTGCCAGGAGTCCCCAATTTTGGGCTTCCGCATGTCTCAAGAGCGGCAGTGACAGCACAAGCCGCCACCACCAAACCATATTGAGCGAGTGCCGGAGTTCCAGTTGAAACGTGTGCGAAGTCTGGAACCGGTCAAACACTGAGCCAGCGGCGGTGAATCCAAATCGTGCAAACTCATGAAGAAGGAATCCTGGTCAGGGCCTGCTATGATGAACCGAACCTGGTCAGGAGCTTCTGGAGCAAGAAAACATCCTAAGAAAAGGAAAGGAAGGACTACTTTGTTTGCAATGTGTTCGAAGGGTAGCATGTCAGCTGTTGTGATGCAAGTAATGTTTGACTTCATCAACCCTGTATGATGGAGACGTTTGGCATCGTTTGGCAATCCTGGTGTTGGATCTCGAGGTCTTTCTCAACGTTGACAAACCAACTTCTATTCGTCATTGACATGATGAAGTCGTTCAGTACGCCTGTCCCGCCACTGCCCAGCATGTTTTTTTCAGTTTCGAAGGTTTTGAATTTCTCAGCAAACTGCTGGTGGAAGCCCGTTCCACCCCCTTCTCTCTCTCTGACAGGCCCAGCGGTCTTTTTTCGGACGCTTTCACTGGGGGGGGTATCGGGTGAGACGGGGCGGCGAGGCTCGCCGCTGCGTGCGCCTCACTGGGCCTCCTTGGCTTCCTCAGCGGCTGAGTGGCTCAGGCGGCTCAGATAGAGCGATCGAAGAAATGCCTTTGACTCTGGAAATGCATGTCATCTGGTGCGATATCTGGTTCATTCGCATCAAATTCCATTTAAGAGATTCGTGAAAAGGTCCTCCAAATCACTGCACTCTGCAGGCCCATAAGTTTTCGCATGGTTTCGCCTTTTGGACCCAAATGGTGGGTGCGTTGGTCTTTGACCTCAAGGGATGCTGGCTTTGATGCTTCCTTTCCAACGGTGCCGGGGCGGGGTCCGACCGGTCCCCGAGCGAGCTTGAGATCAATTCGTCACGTAACGGTTGGAGTGCCCCCCCCGTTACGTCAGGTTCGTCAAGAGTCCATCTGATATCATCTTGACAATATGCATCAACCATCTTGGCCCAAACAAAGATTTCACAGAACCTGGAAGTCTATTGTTAAGGAAGAACAAATCCCTGGCCTGTGGCCGAATCTGGCTCCCTGGTCTTGCAGAACCACCCCCAAACAACACTCAGGGCTTATAGTGATGACATGTGGTGACTTTCTCTGCCCATCGCTGCTAATCAAGGGCGAGGATTCCCTTTCGTAGTGGAAGAGACTTCACCATCAACCTTCTTGAACCAGGGTGCTACATGCTTGGACTTGGATCAACCCACCTCCATCCACCCCTTTTGCCCAATCTTGAGCCCGACTCCTATAGACCTTTTGATGACGCCATCAGGAGCTCCCACAGGCCAACGGTCTCACAGGCAACGGTCGCGTCCAGGAGGCCATCTCTTTGAGGATCTCCTGCGCCGTCTTCGGCAGCGGTTTCTGCTCCCTGCTTGTCAGGCTGGCCTGGGCCGTCGAGAGTGCCAGCACAGCGTATTCATAGCGTCAAAGCCCAGACTGGCCGAGCCGGGCGTGTCGTTGGGTGGGTCGGGTTCCCAGTGTGGTGCTTCTTGAAGCACTGGATTCTAGGTTCATCTTCAGGGTCCTGGGTAGCACCTGCGTGAGCAAATGAAGGTGGCTTCTCATCCCATGGAATCCTTTTCAACGGCGGATTTCCGGAGTCGGTAGCCTGCCTGATTTGGCCGACATGGGGTTAGAACAACTTGCTAACCTCAGCTGTGGCCAAATCCAGAAAGGACCAGAGATGATTTTCCATAATTCTTCCCCCAAAACTAGACCCTTGATCTGGCGCGAGTCCACCAAGCTCAGTGTGGATCTCCATGAATCATTTGCCATGAAGACGAACAGAAAGCCCAAGACGGCACCCGAAAACGGCAGGACCGAAGTTGTAGCCACCAACCCCCGAACAATCCCTCCTTGCCTGTCGCTGGGACTCTTCAAACTCCTCTTTGGTCATGGAATACAAAGGTTCCACGCACTGCGAACCTTGACTCGTCGGTTCGGCGAATGAAGATCATGGGATGAACATTGGAAGCGCTTCGCACTTGCGCCATGGAGCATGATGAACATCGGAAGCGCATCCCCAGCAGGTTGGTGAAAAACCTCAACCACTCCATGATACTCCATGTGTTGTTCAATCGGTTTGAGTTAAGCCATGTTTCATCATGTTTCCCATCTGGCACATCAAGGAACTCCCAATGTGATATTCCGATATTTAGTGTGTAGACCGTTGATAAATCATGACGATAAGTCACACCTCCATCATCATGGAAAAATGCCATCTCCTGTCTGTAGAAATGGATCATCATCATGGATCATGTCTGTAGAAATGCCATCTACTGTCTGAAAACGGTGCCCATCCTTTTCGATCTTCCATCATCTTCCATGGGCACAACGACCAACATCATCCTTTTCACGAGGCCAGGAAGCTGGGGAAGAAGAGCTGCTTCAGCTCAAAGGCAGCAGTCCCACACCTCAGCGAGGTCGGGGCGAGATGAACAGGGAATGTTTGGCACTAGTTTGGTGGACCCAAAATCTGGACTGACATTGAGTTATTTGTTTTCCTTCTCCATCTCGAAATCGGTTTAACATCGAGCAGCTACAGTTTTTTCGTTTTTCGAAAATACTTCATATATGGATCATGGAGACTTTGCTTTCCCCCGCATGCCTCAGTGAACTGGTGCTCAAATGGATGTGGGTCAAAGATGGTCAAAGCCTGGGCCCCAAAACCATGTCCCTGGTAGTCTGTTCTGTGCATTCGGTGGGTCAACCAAGGTCCTCCTGTTTTGACCCACAGCCAAATCGTGTATGACCTTGCACGCCTGTGGAGTTGGAGAAGTTGAGGCGCCGCTTGATGTCTCATTGAGGTGTTGCGCATTCCGGTGCTTGAGATATGCTTAAGGCCCCAGAAATCTTTTTGAAGGACTGACCGATCCAGTAAAGTGGTCAAAGGAGACAGCAAGAAGACAGTGCCACGATCCAGATCGAGCTAAGAGTAATCAGCAAGTCTTGAACCGATCACTGGGCCTTTGAGTGATTTTAAAGGATTTCCAATATGACATTGTTCTGCCAAATGAATGGATTGAGGCGACAGATCCAACCTTTGAGCTGTTTTGTCAAGGAGCAAGTCTATGTTCAGTCTGAATCCAGTGATTCCATTCACATCCTCCGGAGAACGTTTTGGGGGTCGAACAAAAGGCTTCAAAAAGCCTCACCGTCCTGCCGAGGAGCACATCCGCGTAGGAAATCATTCCAACGGAACGCTCCTGACGAGACGCACGACGGCTTTTCCAGATAGAGAAACGCAAAACAAAAAAAGCAAGCACCATACATCACCATATGCCATATAGCATCATACAGCCGTTTTAGTATAGGGCATGATAGCAACTCTGACTTCATTGAAATTCGCAGGTTCGGTAGAACCCACGTTCCAACAGTCTGACGCTTCTGAACTAAACTATGCTACTCACGTCGTGGCTCCCGGCCCTTGCCTTTCAAACGACCCAAGGAACAGTGGCTCCTGGCCTTGAAATCCTGGTACGTGACACTGAGGTAGAACAGAGCCTGCCCATCCAATTCCCAGCGACCGTAGAAGAACGTGCTCCGAAGGAGACGGCGGAACGTCTCCAGTGGCCTTGCTGCTTGACAAAAGAATCGAATCAAGGGAATTGTCAAGCTGGAACTGCTCCCTGAAAGTCAAACTGGCCCCAAAAAACTACATCTGACCACTTCCGGCATGGCACTCCAGTATACTCCACTGGCGAAACAGTCATTCCACCTGCGAAACATCCTCTACAAAGGCAACCCAGGCTCAAGCCATCTGACATGCCCACAGCGAGGCGATCATATAGAGTCTATCATACCAGTCCCATGCAGCTCCTACCGTGGCCTTGCCACGAACAGCCCCGCCGTGTCGCTGATCGTCCGTTGGGTCCCCCCCGAACCGTAGCCGTAGGCATGTGGAACGTCTGAATGGCACAATGCCAGGAAGCGCACCCAAGTCAATCCTAGAGTTCTTGTGTGGGCAAAGTGCTGATGCTTGTGTGGTGCCACCCGACACAATGACCTGATGCACTTGTCTATGACCTGATGCTCACCTGACCTGATGACGATCACAGACATAGCTTGACATAGGAGATCTATTTTTCGCCAGGCGGACCTACTCCCTCACCTGCAAATGACGTAATGACTACTATAGCCTTCACACTTTACGTCCTATTCTTAGGAGCTACAAACCAGGGAGGCTCGCGAAGACCCTCACACTGGTCTCACGCCTCGGCGCGAAGGCGTGCAAAGGCGTGCGTTCGGACACGGAGGCGTGAGCTCTGAGGTCTGGGCAGCAGCCAAGCCCAAACCAGCGGGGATAAAGAGGAAATAGGCTGGCCTTGGTGGTGACCCTTTTTGTTTGTGCAGGGTGAGAAACCATCAACAACTATCAGCTCACACTTTTGAGAATGTGAGATCACACGCGGGAGTTCACAGATGAGAGCACGCGACAAATGAGCACCCGGCCAGGCCCGACATGTATTCGCCCACACATCACATGAGAGTACACACAAGAGCACATCTGAAGACACATAAACTTTATGTCATTAAGTGGACTTCCTATCGCCCCCCACATGTTGTGCTTCTCACAAACAGAGTCCAGCAAGAGAGCGCACAACACGGCCAGCATGCTTGCGATAAGGTGCCCAGCCTGCCAAAATCACCATCGGATGGGATGTTGTATATGTTATTATGTTCTTTCTGTGTCACTCCGGCTTCCAGATTTTTCAGCAACTCCCGCAACTCTGTGGGGGCCAGTGGCAGAGTCGTGCACTGTAGCAAAAGCTGCATGTCGGCTTATCAGTTTGCTTTTGAGGTGTTCAGGGTTCAGAATAATTTATGCGACGCAAACATGGTGAGATCCCGTCGACCATCTTCATTTTCGAAGAAGTTGGCCAGTTCATCGACTGTGCAGCACTCTACTATCTCAGAATTTCATAGAGAAGGATAGAAGTCCAGCGTGCAGAAACACGGGCAAACATCTGTGGCGATATCAGATCAAGTCTTCTGGACACCTCCAATTTCATGTAATGTCTGATGGCCAGGTGCTACCCCAGTTCTTAGTCCAGAATCTTGACCCATGCCCTTGACCAAGGCCTGCGCCAACCCGCCAACCCCCCTGCCGGGGCGCCCGATGGATTCATCGCTCCGCTCCGGGCCGATCTCGACGCCATCCATGTAGTTCTCCAACTGCACCGGCCACACGGGTGGACGGGTGGCCGTGGGGCGGATGGGGCGGAGGGGGATCCTGGGAAACAAAGTTGCTTGGGCAACCGCGGAGGGAAGAACGCCACGTCTCTGTAGGTCCGTTTCCAAACCCGGGTAAGCCGTCCAAGGCACGACGGCTAAGATGCGATACGATGCGAGATCCGAAGAGGTCTATGTCTTGATGAAACCTAGACAGAGTCGACTCAGTCTGCCTAGACAAGCGAAATTCTGAAGTTTGTTGAGGGTTGACCCAAGCCTCAGCCAAGACCTCTGCTGAGAAACATCCCGGCCTACAAAGCCTCTCAAGAACAGCTCGCTCAAGCCGGTTCATAAATCCTCAACCCTTGTGCTGTCACTCAAGAATAGTCAAACAAGTATAGTCTCATCATGTCTCCTTTGTGGACTCAACATTCTAAACAACACACAAAACCATGCAGTGCGGCCTGTTTTTCCCGTTGTCTAATGATGTCCTGGAGAGCAACGGAGCGGTGGGCACGAGGGGTTACTGCTACCGTCGGGGTTATGATCACGGGTTGGAGGATTTCATGTGATACACCAAGAGCTCAGCTGATACCTCTAATAGATTCTAATAGCGATAATAGACTTTATAATCATAGGCGATAAAAATAGACGTTACTCCAACCTAATAGCAATCCTAATAGCGATGGCCTCCAACCTAGTAGCGATGGCCTCCACCCTAACTGGATTCGATGAAGGTAGCTACATGCTGTCCACTTCAATTACAGCATTAACATCCCCCAGTCTCTGGAGGATGCTACCCAGTTTCGCAGCTGTGGAGTGTTGCTAGCCACTGGAATTTAGCATGTTGGATGGTGTAAGGCCGTAAATGGCCCTAGTCTCCTGCTGCATTTGGTCAACACATCTCAACACCCAATGCGCACTTCATTCTCAGGTCGTCAAAAAATCGCTCCGCGGCTACTTCTTCCGGAGACATGTATTTCGGCATGGACTTGACCTGGCTCAAGCATGGGTCAAAGCCGAGACCGGCGTCAAAACACGTTTTTGTTCTGTATGTGGGGAAAAGGATTCCAGTTTGGCACGAAGCTAGAACGCAAAGTGTAGACAACCGACACACATACACATATGTCCTGACACAGCCAAGATTGGGAAATGGAAGTCTCGTCTTTATCTGGAGTCCAAAAGGACATATTGGCTCTGGCAGACTGGCAGACCCGATTCTTCCATCAACAAAGGCCAGCCAAGAAAAGCACATCACGGTGGGAGTTTTATCTTGGAAAAGGTGATGTACATGTACGTGATGCACGGATTCCGACAGGCATTCGACACAACTAGATATTGGCCCACAAACATCATATTACAGTAGATGTATATTTGTTACGAGAGCTACAATTATATAGTAATAGTAATGTATAGTTATGATATGTATTGATATGTATGATAATAGTAGACTGCTGTGATCCTCTGGCAGATTCCAGAGGTATCTTTCAGATTCTTTCAGAAGTTCTTGGGAGTTCATCCTCTCCAGGTCCCGGTCTGCCCGGGTTGAAGCCTTCTCGGAGACTTCGATGCTTGCGATCTCATTGTAAGTCTCGCGGGCCGCAAGAGCCAGCCCGGACTGTGGGAGGGTCTCGAAGCTTGTGTCCCAAAGAATTTCAACACCCTGAGACAGCCTTGAGACCCTCTTCGGACGGTCTGCAACCAACGACAGAGGTGAACGTGTTTTGATGGGGAGTCTGAGATTCAGAGTCACGGTGTTGAGCTCCGGAGAACAAATCACCTCCCAAAGTCATTTGGAGGGCTGCCATGGTGTCGTCTCAAAGAAACTGTGCAACCAGCCTACTGTTCACGGATGTTCAAGGCAGATCTGAATTGAGTTCAAACATTCACGAGGTGCGAAAGAAGAACCACAGAAATATGAGTCGTCTCAGGAGTCGTCTCCTCCAAAAAGATGCGGAGGAGAACCACTGTCGTTCCGAACCGGATCAAGGTCGTTCCGAACCAGATTCTCAAGTGTTCACGGAATTCTCCAAGTGTTAGATCACATCTCAGACGAAACCCGTTAAGAGACCCACATGGAACCTGAACATGGATGAACATGGACCTTTGGAAGACGATGGGTCCGTGAGTTTTTCCTCTACAACCCAATTCTTAGGTTCCATGTGGGTCTCTTCCAGAGAATATCTGTCCATCTCTGTACCCTCCCAACATGCATCACTTCCGGTCGCCACCCTCGAGAACCGAGAGCGTTTTTTCGTGGGTTCTCAGCCGGGCGAGAGTGAGATGCCACGTCACGAGTGGGTGCGTTCGATGGGCGGGGATCAAAGACAACCCATGGTGCACCATGGTGCAACCCCTCACCTCGAGTTCAGCAAAACCCACGGATCACCATCTTCTGCAGCTGTTGATTTCTTCGGGTTCTGCGGGTTCCGCGCGCCAACCGGGACCGGCGGGGCTGGGACATCGGTGACCCGAGCGCCTGTGTCTGATCCTTCTTCTTTGCTCTTAGAGAGACTCCCCTCTGAGCATGTGTCGATGGGCCTGCAGGAATGCAATGGGTCAGAACTGGGTTCGACTCTCTGCGAGGAAGACGAAGAAGGCAACATTTTAAGATGGATCACTTCGATCCGACAGTAGCCGTTCTGGGATTGCTCTGCCACATGCTCAATTATGGATGTCCTTAAGGATCCTAAGGTGTCTTTGCGAAGCACGTATTCAAGAAAAGGCCGGTTTGCGCATCGGCTGCTTGTCTTGTGTTTATACACAGCTTGGGACTCTACAACCATCAAGCGGCCCTCACGAATTCAACACTCATTGCGTCCAAGGTGTACCCCAACCACACACAATTCCGGTGAGGCCAACCAAAGCAACCATGTAACATAGATCCATCTTGGAGCCGGGGCTAACCCCAAGCACAAACAAGTCTCACAAAACACAATGCTCTGTCGACCGTGCAAACCACCTCAGATCATCTGGTGAGTCTCAGAGTATCGGCCGCGCCTGTAAAGCCAACGGACCAGAGACAACTGGCCTGGCAAACCACAAAGAGGGTCCCCTGGTCGGGGTCCTGGTCGGGTGTGGTCCACTGTAATAGTGCGACCTGTTCGATGTGACGAAGAACTACTTAGTCTCCTCCGAAAATATGTCAAGCCTCCATAGGAACAAATTTATTCAATCCATATCTTGTGTTGATCTAAGAGTCTATACATGACCAAAGACCCACAGTCGCTCCTGAAAGATCCTGATGGCACTCCAGCGCCCCAAAGCCCTGATGACCCCCGCAGGTATCAGTAGATAACTGACTTTACGATCAACGGGGCCTCTACAGTAACTACTTCAATCGCGTCCAATAGCAACCCACTCTTGGGTTTAGGGTTTAGGGTTTAGGGTTGTGATGATCGATCAGCTTTTTCATCCACAAGTCTTTTGGGATCTTTTGGGAGAGTTGATTCATGTCAGGTTGCTTCTATATACCTGCTGATTGTACACCTCTAGGTGGAAGCCAGGAGTGCATGAAGTCCTCGGGTGCAGAGGCTCTGATGGGAATATGTTCGTCTGCTGTGAGGCTCCAAAGTGGTGTGGATCTGAGGTCTTCTGATTACCCAAGTTCCTAGAATAATCTTGAGGCCCTCAAGGCTCCAAACAACAAACATATGGCAAAATCAGCTTAAGTGAATGATTATGAAATCCTATTGTGAAGTGCTGTCCCTAAAGATATCTCAGCACACCTTTTCTTCTCAATTGTCTCGTCTTGACTGGGCATGATGGGTATGTTGGTTGGTTGCTGGTTGTGGGTTGCGCGCACCTTTTCCTTACACGCCTCATGCACTGGCAGTTGATGAACTGTCCAATCCCCACACAAGAAGGATGGAAATGACTCGAATAGAGCATTTCTGCAACATACAGAATCAAAGCATATCAAAGCAATTGGCAATGTCTTTATTATCTTTATTGGCTTCTGAGAGATGTGATGTTTGATACTTACGCAGATGTGGTAATGAGGGGTTAGTAAACGTGAGCATTCTTACAGATCGAAACGGCCTCCAAAACCAACCCAAATGGTTACAGTACTGTACTCATCGCCAGAGAAGCTTAAGCAAAAGCCTGCAGATTGAGATACCCCGATGAAGGCAGTAAACAGAAAAAGGGACAGCAATCTAGGAAAACATGAGACATCCATGTATACACCTGAAGCACAGGAAAGTGATGCCCAAACCCTCAGCACCATGAACACAATGTTATATACTGTATAATTTTGGTGGATTTAACCATCCATGGTTATGCTATGTTATGCTGCTATGCTGGCATTTTCTAGGTGTGGATATCTCCAAGCTCTGATCCCTAAGCACAGCCGTTATATAAATAACGCGGCCCAAGGTCTAGAAAAAAGCAACGAGCACGGAACAGGTTTCTATTTCATCTGCATAGTTTAGCCATGTTTAGCTTTAGCTTTAAATCATAGGATCAAATGAGAATTTCTCTGTATTGACTCAATCTGAAGTCATCTGAAGTCTGGATCTCACAGCCAGACTTCCCCTTCCACTGGCCCCCAAATGAACAACAACCCCGCGGCCAATCTTGGGCATGCCAACCAGGGCCAAAACGCCGAGGACGGGCCGCCTGTGGGCAGAAGGCATCGAAACAAACATGGCCTCCACCCTAGTAGTGATGGCCCCCAATCTAATAGCCATGGCCTCCATTTTGAGTTGATTATAACTATTGGATATTCTTAGGGTCTCAATGTCAAGCAAATCCCTGGAATCCACGAAATGAAAGATCTTGCGTGCGAAAAGCCGACAAAAAGGGACCCTATCACCCTCTCGATGTCCAAACCCGTGGTAATGGTCGTCTTTCTTCAACCTACCAGAAAGAGCCACCTCTTTCTGGGTCTTCAGCCTCCCAGACTCCCCAGCCATCGAATGGCAGTCACTTGGGTGTAAAAGCTGAAAGCGTTTCTTTTTCTGCTCGCATCTTCGGCCCACAAAACATGCTTGGAACCGTGATGGAGGATGTGCATCCTGGTGCTTGTCAAGCATCGAATGGAAGGAAAGCTTGGGCACCGATCGACCGCTGGGAGGCAGATTCTATGAAAATGAAACAAACAAGAAACAAAGACAGGACTCACATGAAGACAAGAACAAAGAGTAAGTTAAAAACAAGAACTCACATGAAATCACAAATCCCAACAAAGACTAAAACACCACACACCCCCCCGTTCACCACGCCTGATCATCCTGCAGCGCGCTACTGAAAGGGGCCCGCTCACAAAACTCGGCTCCCTAATAGTGAGCCACAGCGACAAAGACACGAAGACGGTCACAACGCAACGAGAAACAAACCCGTGGACCTTTATGGACCCGTGGAACCAAAATGAACCAAACATCCTGCCAGAAATCCAGGCGCATCCACATCGGTTGGTGACCGATTCACAGCTCACCGACGTTGGATCCTCAAATCGTGCTCATTATATGCAAACGTTGGAAAATAGTGCCACTAGGGTACGAACCCAAACTACAGTCGTTGTCCAATCCTCGTCTGGGTCCTCTGCTTTCCCTGTCTCAGGCCATTTTGCGGTTCACAAGCCACAGCTCAAGCATCTGCAGCTTCTGGGTAGCCTCCTGGCAGCGCAAAACACAGAACAAAGTCCTCCATCTATGCATCTTTGACTGAGTGGACTGAATGGCAGTAGTAGTAGTAGTAGTAGTAGTAGTAGGAGTGGGAGTAGGAGTAGCAGGAGCAGGAGCAGGAGCAGCAGCAGCAGCAGCAGCAGGAGGAGGAGGAGTAGTAGTAGTAGTAGTGTTGTAGAGCCAGAATTTGGCAAGCTGGTCCCATTGATATATGAGGTGCCGTCAAAATCAATTGTTTAGGTTTAGGATTGAGGACTGATGCGAAAGTAGAAGTTGTTGCTTTGGGGGGGGCCTATCGCCTTACATCGCTTTGCATGAGGAAAGCAACATGTTTTAGCATAAACTCTGGAATCCATTCCTCACACGCTCGAAAATGGATGAATGACTTCTTCGTTCAGGTGCAATCATTGAACCATCATTGATTGAACATGATTGAATTTGATCTCAAAGGGAATGACAAAAGCACAAGCAATCAACTGCTTTCTCTGTGGCTTGTAGGAACAAATGGGTTTCTGGAGAACAATGAGCATGAATCCGCCGACCCCGGCCTATACCCAAAGCCTAGGCGGCGAGGCGCCTGGGACACCGCAGGGTGAAGCAGTTGGCCAAGCCTTGCAGAACCATTCCAAGCACTTCCAAAGGCATGTGTGCAGGCGCATTGTGGTTGGCCGCGGCCTCTCGGTGGCCTGTCCGAGGCCTGCCTCTCCTCTTCTTATGGGCTTTTCCGAAAGCAACGTTAGACACCCACGGGCCCCGCCCTCAAACGCTTCTCGGCAGCCGGCAGGCCTGCCCCGGCCTCTCTGTGGCTGTCCGAAGCCTGCCTCTTCTCTTCACCCACGGGCCCCGCCCGCAAACGTTTCTGCAGGCCGCAGCTTGGCCCACAAAGCTTCTTCTATGGGCTTCCGAAGGCAACGCGGCCTCTCTGTGGC